AAGCCCTATATCAGTGGTTTTCAACCTGTGGTCTGCACACACCTGGAGGTCCGCATACTATGTCTAAGATTTCCAAAGGGGTCTGTACCTCCATTCAAAAATTTTTTAGGTGTCCACAAATGAAAAAATGTTGAAAGCCATTGTGCTAGAAAAAAGATTCCTTGGGCTTATACATTGAAAGCTCCATTCCACGGCATGTGCTTGGAGGGGCACTGCTGGTCAGTTGAGGTCGATGTACCGGGGGGGGTCTCCCTTACCCGGATCGGAGAGGGACCTAACAACCTGCTCCATCAGATGCTTTTGTAGGCAAAGCTCCCGGACTTCTCGAGTTCTGGATGGGAAGGAGTGACAGATGCTGCACTTTGCAGAGATATGCACCTCACCCAGACACTACAGGCACCATTAATGTTTGTCACTGATGGAGAAGGAGTGAGAGCAGGAGAAGCAATTCTTGAATCCCAGGACTCTGGGCATAGTCCCAGATCCAGGGAGGGGTTCCCCAACTGGGGAAAAGAAATACTCTATGCTAACTATAACTTTAACTACTAAGCTAAAATACTAGGGCTGTCAAGCAATTAAAAAAATTAATCACAATTAATTGCACTATTAAACAAGAACAAGCATTTGCATGGCTCTGTTGTAGCCGGTGTCACAAGATATTTATGTGCCAGATGTGCTAAAGATTCATATGTCCCTTCATGCTTCGACTATCATTCCTGAGGACATACATCCATGCTGATGACAGGTTCTGCTCAATAATGAGCCAAAGCAGAGTAGACCGACATGTTCATTTTCATCGTCTGAGACAGATGCCACCAGCAGAAGGTTGATTTTCTTTTTTGGTGGTTTGAGTTCTGTAGTTTCCGCATTGGAGTGTTGCTCTTTTAAGATTTCTGAAATCATGCTCCACACCTCATCCCTCTCAGATTTTGGAAGTACTTCAGATTCTTAAACCTTGGGTGGAGTGCTGTAGCTATCTTTAGAAATCTCACATTGGTACCTACTTTGCGGTTTATCAAATCTGCAGTGAAAGTGTTCTTAAAACGAACAACATGCACTGGGTCATCATCGGAGACTATTATAACATGAAATATATGGCAGAATGCAGGTAAAACAGAGCAGGAGACATACAATCCTCCCCCAATGAGTTCAGTCACAAATTTAATTAACACTTTTTTTTTTAAACAAGCGTCATCAGAATGGAAGCATGTCCTCTGGAATGGTGGCTGAAGCATGAAGGGGCATATACATGTTTAGCATATCTGGCATGTAAATACCTTGCAATGCCAGCTACAAAAGTGTTATCCGAACGCTTGTTCTCACTTTCAGCTGACATTGTAAATTAGTGGGCAGCATTATCTCCTGTAAATGTAAACAAAATTGTTTGTCTTAGTGATTGGCTGAACAAGTAGGGCTGAGTGGACTTGTAGGCTCTAAGGTTTTATATTCTTTTGTTTTTTGAGTGCAGTTATGTAACAAAAAAAAATTCGACATATGTAAGTTGCACTTTCATGATAAAGAGATTGCACTACAGTACTTGTATGAGGTGAATTGAAAAAATACTATTTCTTTTATCATTTTTACAGTGCAAATATTTGTAATAAAAATAAGTGAGCATTGTACACTTTGTATTCTGTGTTGTAACTGAAATCAATATATTTGAAAATATAGAAAAACATCCACAAATATTTAATAAATTTAAATTGGGATTCTATTGTTTAACAATAAGATTTAAACTGTGATTAATCGTGATTAATTTTTTTGAGTTAATCGCATGAGTTAACTTTGATTAATCGACAGCCCTATAAAATACATAACTACTTAAAAATATTTTCTGTCTTTGCAGGTTATACAAGGGAGTGAAGGAGAACATTATTCTGACTCAGGCCAGGTGGCAGAAAGAAGGTGGTGGAGAGGCATCAGCCTGCACTGCCTCTTATTCTCTTGGTAAGAAGCGTGAGGAGAGAGCTACTGCACATGTGCAGGACAATGGACACTGCTTTGAAGAATTTCCAGTCTCAGGCATCTGGTGCACATGCATACCCACGTGTGGAATACACATAGGGACCATGGCTCACAGAAGGAGAAGATAATTAGAGGCCCAAAAGACATTTTTAAATGTAGCAATAACACACAATGCTGCATCCTGTGTGATCATTACAAACAACTCTTCACACACAGAGTAAGCTATAATTACCATGCTTCAGTACTCAGATGCTAAGGCACATTCCTCTGATCTTCAGCTGATCAATGCTGCTGAAAACCAGATGCTGGTAAACACAGGGCCGGCTCCCGGAATGCCGCCCCAGGAATTGTGCCGCCCCAAGCACATGCTTGGTTTGCTGATGCCTAGAGCTGGTCCTGGTTAAACAGATACATGTCCCGTTTTCAGCACTCACACTGAGGACAAGGTCAGGAGATATGAAAACTCTCTGTCAGCGTTCACTGGAAATCACTGGAGGTCTGTTACCGCACAAGAATGTATACATCACTGGGGTTTGTCACAGGATCCACTCACCGCTAAGGACGCCTCCTCTTGGCCGCTGTGGGATTAGCTCCTTCCAGGTGCTGCGCCCTCCTCTGGTGGTCTCTCCACCCGTCGTCCTCTCTTGCTCTGTGGCTCCTTCTCACTCCAGGAGCTGCAGCTTCCTCTTTGTGACTTGCCCCTCCGGCCAGGTCACTATAGTCCTCCCCTTCTGGGTATCTTTCAGAGCAAACCATCCCAGGCAGTCTGCTCTCTACGGCCTGGTTTGTGCCACCTCTCCAGTGCCTGGTACGGGAACCCAGGCCAGCCCTCTACTCCAGGTTCCAGCTCAGGAGCCCTATCTTCCGCCGCCAAGGTCTACATTATCCTATGCCTGGCTGCTCTCCCCTGATCCTTTTCTACCTTTCTGGCTCTGTACCCTCTCTGGGTTTGCCAGCCACACAACCCCCTCCTCCTAGGGAGTAACTGTAGGCTCCTTGCCTTTATAGCCCTAAACACACCTCCCGTCTCTCAGGGAATGACTGCAGACTACTTCCCTGCAGTCCCTTTTGGCTGTCAGCTCCTAGGCTTTATACAGGCCCTTCCTGTTCCTATCCATCTGAGCCTTGTCTCTAATTAATCCTTGCTCCCTGGCTCCTTTTTCAGGTGCAGCCTAGGCAGTTGATTGGCCAACCTTACCACCTTAACCCTCTCAGGCCTTATGTGGGGTGGACACCCCATCACAGGTTGTAAGACAACAATGCTGAAAGTTATGCATTTCCTCCCAGAATATATTTTAAAGGAGATAACTATAAAATCAGCAATTTAATCCTTCTAAATTCATACAGATACAATATACACACACAAGACCAAGAGACAGACAAACATGGAGCAGTACAAAAGTTTTATTGACATGAGTTTGGGGTGGCTGCCTTACTCATTGTGGTGAAGTGCTAGGAGTACATTTATGTAACTCTTGCCCCTTCCAAAATTAACTTGAACAGCGCTCTTTTGGAAGGCGCAGGGATGAGCATGTTGCCCATACCTCAAAGCAACCTCTTGATAATTCACCAGGTGGCACTGAGGTCTGATCTTAAGGAAGCTACGTATCCTCCTCTTCTGACTAGATGATAAGGTACCAAGACAGTGATTGTATCCACATTATTACTATTCACAAGTATAAATTGTGACCACCATAAAGTGGATGGATAGATGGAATATTTCCTTCACATATACACAGTTCCTCTAATGGGAAAGTAATTTAAGTCTGTAGTGAGATAAAAAATATTTCAGGTTAACTGCAATTCAAATGTTATTTCACAGCAACTACATAGTAAATCCACTATAAAAAATGGTAATTACATGGTAATTCATGTTATTGCTGATACATTATCTCTGAACAACCGTGTAATTAAACTTGTGCTGTAATTCTTTCAATAAGATCTGTTTTGGTAAAACATCATTTCCTAGATTCATTTTTTAAAATGCTACTGAAAGAGTAGAAAAGTTTTACATCATACATTAAGAACTCCATTATTAGAGGAGCAAATTTTCGACCATCCCAAAGAGTGGGAAGTGGTGTGAAATAACTGATTTATTGCATTATAATTTCTCTCCCTTTTCTTTTTTAAAGATAGGAGTCATAATGCAAACTCATAACAGTTCCAACACATGAAGCCTACAATAAGCAAGAGAGAAACAAAAGCACATTTCAGCAGGCAGACTGTGGGGTAATCAAAATATTTAATATGGCTTGTAGCTGAAAGTAATTGATCTAAGTTTCCAATCATTTTAATTATTGCCACATTCCATTCACTTTTCATTAAGTGAAGATAAAAACATGTTCAGTCTTTAAAATGCATGTACATTAGCTTTAAGCCAGTACTGAACATATTGTGCAACTCATCTGTATGCAACACATGAATTTCATAGAATATATTTATATACTGTATATATATATATATATACACACACACACACACACACACACACACACACACACACACTACTTTC